TGGAGAGCGTGGGGATCTACTGACGTGGTACGAGGGTGCTAATTTTTCTTCACTTATCTTTAGGACGTGTCAAAAAGTAGGGAAAAGAGTACTCTCCTTATATTTTCTGACGTTTTTGACACTAATCGACCATTTCACTCTCCGATAAAAGGTTAAGTGCATCCTAGCCTGCGAACAGGTTGTCCATCTATTTAGCTGATCCCACTCCCGGAGAAAATATGGAAATTCTTCCTAATGACATCCCTAACTGGGGAGATTCTGTTGTTACCTATGGTATTAGGGTTTGTGAGGGTCTCGAATCGGGGAATTTGGGAGACCTTCGAAAAAGCAATGTTGGATAGTCACGTTGGACAAAAGTGTCTCATTTCCAGACGCGTAGGTGGGAGAGTGGTGGATTAAAGGCTTTCTTAGGCGTTACAAAAGATTCGTTAATCATGTTTGCAAGTTGCTCAGGAGTTTGATCAGATGGCAATGACTCTTTATCAATGTTGTGCGGGATTGACATCGCGTCTTCATGTGCGGGCACAGGTGAAGATATACGCCACTTAACTTTTTGATCTCCTTCCACCAAGTTGCAGGTGAACAAGATTTCAGATGTTCGACTTTGTTTCGATAAAAACGTTTCCGACAAGATTTCCTTTCGCGGTTTACTTGGTTTCTTAGTTTCTTAAAAGAGTCTAAGTCGTTTAGTGCAAAAGCTTTTTCCCTTCGGTGAATCAGTAACTATTTTAACGATTTGGTCATCCAAGGGGACTCATTATTGATCAAAATCTTATTTTTTATGGGAAGTAGAAAGTCAAGACCAAAGTTAATAATATGCTCCAACACTCTTGTTTTATCGTCACACGAATCTATACACTTTCTACCCAATATTTGACATTAAAATTAACTTCTTGCACGTCCTCCTATCACCAATGACTTGCACGTTGCACGCGATCGAAAAACCATACATCTCCCTGATTATTGTCAGTCTTTTTAATAATGGCAATCACAGTGTTTCAGATATGAAAATTCGAACCCTCTGTCCCATTTCATGGTAGCAAAGATAGCCGCAAAACGCACGAAATGCGTCTCTTTTCCAAACTTGGCACTGTCCACCGCTGTAGCGTTTTCCTATGTTTAGCTCCGTCTGTCTTTGCCTGTCAAAAGCCGACATTGATAGTGACTTCTATTCCATATATTTTGTTGTATTTTTTGTAGTTTTCTGTATATTTGCATTAATATTATGTAATGTGATTTACATATTTGTTTTGACTGAATCCATCCGATTGGTTTATTTTTTCACGTAATGCTTTAATTTTTATTATTAGTATAAAACCTCATGTAATTTTCTCGACCCCTACTAGTAACTCCAGACAAAGAGAACTTCCAAATGTTTGAAAACAATGCGCTATTTCTTACTCTTTTGTTCCGTGGCCTATTTTGAAATTTTGCGCACTATATTGCACTGGAAAAGGCTTACCAGGGCCGTTGCGACCGGGGGGTTTGGGAGCAAGTAGACTTTCAGTAGATTTTCAGGTAATTCTCAGGGCATAAAAAAAGTGAACTCTATGCTCTGAATCAGAATTAGGCAGCGTTTACACTGTACCGTTTTCGTAGCGTTCTCGTATTGTTCTTAATCCTCAAGGGAACGCAAGACAATAGTCTAGTTCTCTCGAACAATACGAGAACGCTACGAAAACGGTACAGTGTAAACGCTGCCTTAGAGTTACCAATCGACCAACTAAAGACGTTGATACGCGTGGTAGGGGGTAGGTATTTTTCGAGATAAGCCACTGCCACTTTTTTTTTCGCCGGGGGCTCAACTCGATAAACACAAGGTTGTTTTAGTACTTCGAGTTAAACCCCGAGGCTTAACTCGAAGTCAATTAACGATTTATGTAAACAAGGGACGTGTGTATATACACGCAAAAATACTGGCAAATAAGGAGGGAGAATGTAAATTTTCAGCAATTTTAAGAAATATATTTTACTAAGACCTCTGTTGCTTTGTCTGCAGTTTTCTAGAGACAATGATATCGTGAAATGAAAGAACTCATTGACAACAAGGATTTGTAGACAACAGCTCATTCAGGAGGACAATTCAGTACGGCTTTAAAAAATAAATAATATTTAGCAGCACTTGCAGAACGCAACTCGTAGGCATTACCTTTCTAACTGACTTAAGGCCCAGTCACACTACACAACGATGACGATACGATAACTTGTATACGCGCGCTGATTGGTCAAAAATTTATCGTTATCGTCCGACTGAAAAAAAATCGATCTAACGATAACTTTATCGTAGTCGTTATAGTGTGGAGACCAACATAATTTTTTCACCAATCATCGCGTGTTTACAAGTTATCGTATCGTTGTGTAGTGTTACCTGGACTTTACTCGGCAACGACAAGATCTAGGACTAGAATATTATGTAAACTTGTTTTATAGTTTTCATCTTGCCAATAAGCCGTCAGAGAAAGAACAGACAGGAAGAACAGTAATATCGGCATATTATATATAAATGGATAACAGATACAAATATTTCCACTAATTACCAACGGCCGCGGCAACTAATTACAATCAACAACGGTACTATTTATGTACTACCTGTATAATCTCAGAATGATGAAGAATGAAGTTCTAGCTAGTAAAACCATTTTCTAAGAAAACAATTCAGTATGATGTCACAAGTATTCAAGTCATATGGACGTTTCTATGGAGACCCTTCAACCCCCCCCCCCCTTTAGAAACGTCACACATAGTTATGAATATTTTGTTCTTATAGTACACACAAGGTAATTTTCTACTATTTTCTGCGGTCGGCTATTGGCGATGCTTCTGCGAGGAATACGCCATCTCCTGACATATGTTTTTTATTAATATATGAACTTCAAAATTTCTCAAACATTATTTTTGCCTGAAATGTTAACAATTTTAGCACGTTTCTCTTGAAATTTGAGCGTTTTCAATGCAAGGAAGGCGTAATAATGTAAATGTATAGAACAGGTATGGTATTACGAATGTATGGACTGTTGTTTGTATCAAGTTGTTTTCTTTTTTATGCAAAGATGATTCCGAAATGTTAAGGCTTTCGAGAACAGTATCAAATTTTTCCTCGATGTTTTACAGAGAAACGTTACAACTGCAAACCCCACCCCGGCCCTAAACGAACATATGACGTTTTTCGCTTCCCTTATAGAAACGTAGTTCGCATCCATATGAACATGCCTAAGATTTGCGTTCTGCAAGTGCCGCTATATATTGTTTATTTTTTACAGCCGTAATTGCCGCCCTTATATAATTAATGAGCTATTCTTTACAAATCCTTATTGAGTTCTCTCATTTCACAATATCATTGTCTCTATAAAACTGCAGGCAAAGAAGCAACAGAGATCTTGGTAAAATATATTTCTTAAAATTGCTGAAATTTTACATTTCCCATCCTTATTTATCAATATTTTTGCGAGTATACACGCGTCTCGAGTGCTTAAATGGAACGCTTAAATCGTTAAAGGACATTGGCACCCAGAATTTTTATTACTTATATCTATTAGGTATACTTGCGGAATATTTAATTTCATATTTTGGCCGGTTTGTCGCGTTTAGTTGTTGAGAAAATTTGATAAAAAGTTCAACAGTTGTCCGCCATTTTGAAAATAAGCGCGTATGCTAATTTATGCCACAAAATACATTATCTGACGTCATTGGCTGGGTAAACACAATTTCATGACTATAACAATACAGAGTATAAGAAGTATTGCCATGCGTAGTGTATTTTGAGCCGAAACAAAAGGCAGCAAAGTTTTACCAAATATGTAACTTGTTTGTAACACTATTTCTCATAGTATATATCCTGCTCCGTGTTAAATAAACGCAGAAATTTGAGTGTAACAAGGCAAATACTAATGCAATATTTTATGATCAATTACCTGTATTGTAAATTGCGCCATTACTTGCTTTCCCAGTCGCTCGATATGTTTTTATCTGATAGTGTAGACTTATCTTGTTTGATTGCGAAGAGTGTTGGCCAGTATAACGCTCAAAACGATATATTTTTAGCTAACATAACACGCACGCAATATAATTCTCTCTTGTAGTTTTGGTGCTACCCATCCAATGACGTCACAAAGTTCATTGGCCTTCGAGATAAATTTTCAAAAAATATTTCCAAGATGACGGCGAAACACAAAGTTTGCATGAATTTTACTCGTAGATTAAAATTTTTGAGAACGAAATGATAATATTTTCATAGTTACGTCGTCAAGTAGGATTGAAATAGCCAATAAAAATTTTCGGTGCCATTGTCCTTTAATTGACTTGGAGTTAAGGCCCAGCGCTTAACTAAAACAACCTTATGTTCATCGAGTTAAGTCCCCGGCGGAAAAGGGTGTTGCTTAACTCGAAGGGCTTAACTCGAAAAATGCCTACCTCCGTCGTGGCAAGGGAGAGATAGCCAAATACCCTTTCTGACGATCTGGAGACTCCAAACTTGAATTTTTTCAACTTAACGTTTTAACCTGATTTTGCGATGCCTGCGAGGTACCATTAATCATGGTGGCGCTTTGCAGGGGTCGTAAAATCAGGTTAAAATGTTAAGTTGAAGAAATTCAAGTAAATCTAGCCTCACCCCCGCCCCTCTCCTCTAGAGGCAAATCAACGGCCTAGCAACGGCCCTGAGGCTTACCAAACATTTTTTTAAAATCTGTAATGCCAAAAAAAGTTTATTGAAGAAAACGGCGTTCTTCAAAAAACTGGCATTACGGAATATTATTTGCTTATTGCTTGTGTATTTTCTAAGTAAAATGCTGCACGAAAAACAATTGGGGATCACTGTGCTTTTTTCCAACTACACAAAGAAATAGGCTATTTTAGAATTTCCTACGTGTTTGTTGCCATAACAACAAACTATGCGGTACCTAAAATGTAGTAAAACTGTGAAACTACTAGACACTTAAAGTTTTTGAAAACAGTGTATTTTCAATTTATCTGTAGTTTCATCCTTGACGAACAAGTATGGTATGGCGAACAAGGCTAAAAACTTAGCGAATTTATGTATTGACGTTCTTTATGATCATGGCAAAACGATTACCAAACAGTTTTCAAAGAATGTTAGAGAACTAACAGAAGAACGAAGAGTACAGCTGACACTTCACAACGTTTTGAAAGTGCTTAAATTATGGGATTTCCCAAATTTTATCCAACAATATGAAAATAACCAAACCATATGGAATATCCGTATACAAGATATAAGCTACCCCGACTTTGTCACATTGACACTTCCTCTTGAGTCAGCTACAGAATTAGAAAGATTTAGAGCATTTCTTCGACATCTTATCTCTAATTGGTCTCGGAATATTAAAGTACAAAAAATTGACAATGGTCAATTAAGTTTTGTAGTCACTCATCCAGCACTTGCACTATTACATATTTTCCCTCAAGGCCACACCAATTTAGATGAACATTTCAAATTTTCCACAACAAAATCATCTCATGTCGAAACTGTTTCGAAAATCATCAGTCTTATGGCCAAAGAATTTTGTTTGTGTATACTGAACAAGCCTGAAAAACTGTCGGGAAACATAGGAGAAAAACGTCAAAATGAAGAAACCACGACAAGCCAAAGTAGCGATAAATATCCTGTATTCCGAGGAAATGACATATTCACACCTGATTTTTACTATTACCATAACATACCGTCTCATGTACTACTTAACCAACTTAATCAAGCTTATATTTCAGTATCCAACGTTAGTCAAAAGTCACAGTCTCAACTTGAAAATTATTGTTTTTCCTCGAATTTGCACTCTATTCAAAGCTTCCAGAATGATAGCTCGGAAGTTGAACGTTTGAAAGCGGAAAACGAAAAGATGAAAAAGTCAGTCAAGACATTGGCCCATGCCACGGAAACTCAAAAAACAGTTTTCCAGCTTCAAATTAATGACTTGATTGATCAGAAGAAAAAGATGGCGGTGACAATTGCTGAAAAAGAAACTGAGATAGAGCAAGTGATGTTAGAACTTGGCCGTTTAAATGTGGAATTAACCAGAATACAGAATAGAAAGACAAGAGATGAGCTTTTTAATAAAATGTACAAGTTTCATTCAGCTTCCACTCAGACGTCAGGGATTTCAGAATGGTCGAATACATCCTTAGATGCAGCGGTATCGAGTGATCAAGCGACAGAGGTGAGAAATAATCAAGTCGAAAATCATTATGGGCAAGAGTCACTTAACGAAACAGCAAGTCTAACTGATATACCACATACTGCTGTAGATGGAAATATCTATAACAATTATAAACTCTTGTTACTGCGAATTGCTCACAATCTCCTGAAGGAGGATGTTCTAAAACTAAAACAATGGGTGGACAATGAATTTAAAATCGATGTCTCTGGAAGTGTGAACGCACTTTTTCTCGAACTAGATCGTAAGAAAATTATCAGTATCACTGATCTGAGTCGACTAAAAAAATTCTTTGAGGATAACTTAAGATATGATTTTGTACATCTTATTGATTGTTATCTTCTTGGGGAGTACTCACAGTTAAAGATTGCCAAGACAAGTGAAAGGTTAGGATCATTTAATCGAGGATCAAACGCGCAGAATGGATTGACTTCTCAGAGTTTTGTTCACTTACTATCAGCACAACGGCCATCACGTTCAACAACAATAGGGCGTTCCACACGGATATCACGTGGTCCAGCAGACGAGCCACTGGATAATGCACATGGTTATCAAAGGGCATTTCAAGGATTATCACAAGTGAACTCGAGGGAGATTGGAGGAAATATAGGGGGTATATCAGGTTCTACACAACGTCCAACCCAGCGATCTGTTGCTCGAAATGGCCCTGGCTCGAATACACGCAGACCTCATCCTGTGACTTCATCTAGTTGTGGCAAGGAAACTGCAAGTAACAATAGCAATACTTCGCAAGGTGTGGTAGTCACTGATGGTGGAAGACGCGAGCATGGTGAAGGTAGGTTAAATAGTTGTTAAAGTCTTCAAACTTTGGGGTTCTGTGAAGAACGCTGTGTGGTCAGTGGCGTAACGTAACCTCCGGAGGCCCCAGGCAAATTTTTAAGTGGAGCCTCTATTTTTTTCCCAAAAAAGTTGGCGGGGGTGGGGGGAGATGGTGAGGGAGAAATTTTTTTCGAACCATATTCATTGAAAAAGGGGTCACATGACAAGAAAAAACTAGTGACAAAATTATTTCCCCATCTATGTTTATAAAAAAGGGTCCAAATTTCACCATTTCAACAATTCCTGCTTTTGGCGGCCCCCCGTTGCAAATTTTCTGGCCCTTTATAACCGAGGCTCTGGGAAATTTGCCCAATGTACTAGCAAAAATGTTATGGTCATTTTTGCCGGAGGCCCCCAGGCGTGGGGGCGCCATTCACTGGACACACGCCAGTTACACTACAGTGTGTGGTTATTATTGGAAACCGCGGTGTTGTTCGTACCCATCTAAAGCGATGTTTAGATCTTCGTCAGCTGACTTAGATTCAGGAAACCCTGAAATAAACCCGATGCCCTGTTTATATATTTTAAGTGTATCACTGCAAGATCTAATGTCTACTTTTAGATACCGTAGTCAATTTATTTATCTGTGAATTTTGTCTCCCACAGTTCAGGCCAGCAGTCCAACAGTACGTGACGATCAAATTAGTACTTCACGTGGCAGTAATGGACATAAATTTTCAAAATCCCAACCACCTGATACGGATGAGGACGGCCAATGGTTATGCAGTCATTACAAACGACGTTGTTACGTGAAATTTGAATGTTGTAACAAGTTCTGGCCATGTCATCGTTGCCATAACAGCCAAAGCACGTGTGGCAAGAGAAAGCTTAAGTCACGTGACACGAAACAGATCAAGTGTTTTGCTTGTGGTCAAGAACAACCGGTATGTGGACAATTAAGAATTAATTTCCAACATTCGTTATTGTTAGTAATCTTACCCGAAAAACCTATTTCAGCAGAAACATATTTTAACGTAACATACAGCTTTATTTTGTGTTCCAGTCATTAGTTCTTTCCTTTCCTTACCATACGATTGGAAGTGAAAACAGCTTTGCGCTAATATTATTGGAACCCTATTCTATCCCTAATGCTTCCTTAATCCTAGCCTGAGTATCAGGCCATATCTTCCCTTCCTTAAATGCGGACGGATGAAAGGGAGAATCCCTAGGGCCGCATGTGAAAGTGCCAAAATTCGGCTTTTCACCTAATTGATCTGCCGTGTACAAAAAAAAAACATTTAATTTTTCTTTTGATTGCATGGTTAGTGGTAATTAGATTTTAGTATTGTTCATGATATACAGTATTTAGCAGTTTGTGGTGAATTATATAGTAACTATAAACTTCACTGCGGGCGGAGAGCGACCGGGTTAAGATTTTGACCAGGCTCTATTTGTAAAACCTTCCTGTATTAGACCTTCCCATACCAGCACATCACGTATATCCGGTGGTGTTGTCGCCAAGACTGCCTTTTAAACCGGGAGCCTCGGGTTCAATACTTGGTCGGACCTCTACTCAAGGTTTTTAAATAACCTAGGAAGAAGAGATACCTTTACATTGACATCAGTAAATGGTTTGACTTTCGCATCTTCTCGGATAAGGAAGTTAAATCGTAGGTACCTCGGATCCTCTATAAAATAGGTAATATCCTGTTGGGAAAATCGCTCGTCAATGAATTAGAAACTAAATAAACTAAGCTGTCGTAATCCGTTGTCTAAACTTCATTTTATCCAGTAATAATGCAATTGAACTAACATCTATATAACCTTGTTTATACTTTTAGTTAGTAACCATTCAGCACAGAATAATTTTAGTGTAATTATGTTTTGTGATGCGCATTTGATACTTTTGATCGTATATTATATACTATAACATGTTAATTTGCGCAATATAAATAATAAATATTATTATTATTATTATTATTATTATTACTATTATTATTATTATTATTATTATTATCTTCCATAAAATAGGCAATAGCCTGTTGGGAAAATTTCTCGATAATGAATGAGAAACTCAATAAACTATATAACTGTTGTAATCCATACCTTAAACTGCATTTTATCCAGTAATCCTTATTAGAATTATGTATACAACGACCTTCCTAACCCAAGTCCTTATCTTATCCAAATCTTAAATCTTGTCATTTAATCCTAATTCTTCTGAAATCATTAGTAATATGCATCGAAAAACCAGTTTCATATTATTCTAGAATAATATGAAACTGGTTTTTCGTATCTCTGAGGATGATTCTGAAATGCATCGAAAACCAGCCAACATGCAACAGAGAACCTGTTAGGGTTGATTGTATGCGTGTTTCTCATCGGATTTTCAAAACAAGTATTCTCGTCACTTGAAAACATTATGTCGCTTTCGATATTTTGTCATTTTCCCCGTCTTTTCTATGTCACCGTCACAATTTAATTTAATTTAGACAGAGGTTGTTGCCAATGTCGCTATTTCATTTTCTATATGTCGTCATACATTTTAAGGCAATGTCACATGTCAAAGTTTATCGGAACAGGGCCTCATAATAACTCATTATTCCCCTCCCCCTTCCTGCCCCCCCCCCATCCCCTCTAATGTCCGCCACTTAATCGGAACAATTCAAAAATGACCTATCATAATTTCAACTTTTGTGTCAATTGAGGTAAATGTTCTTTCAATTCATCGTTTCAGTTTGCACATCACTGTTCAAGATGTAACGCGAAATTTGCAAGATATTTTTGTGGTCAATGTAAGCACCTGACAGGCACTGATGATAATCCGTACCATTGTGAAAAGTGCGGTATTTGCAGGTGAGATAGATGATACAACTGTTGATACAACTATTGAATACCCCGTATGCTGAAACAGTTAGGCTATGTGGAAAGTCAATTGTACATGTTTTAACGAGAATTTGTGGATAATCAACATATCGCAATTCCATCATTTAAAAAAATGAAATACTTGTTCGCTTTGGTTTCTCTAACTGGTGTGTATTCAAAATTTTTATTGTAGGATTCACGGAGATCGTTCATTTCATTGCGATGTATGCGGTGTGTGTTTGGACGTCCAACTTCGTGGAAATCACAAATGTCGCGCTGGCTCTGCACATGATGAATGTTGCATTTGTTTAGAGGTAGTGTAATCAGTTTGAGCTCAAATTAGGGGTCGACATGATTTCATGCACTGCCAAGTTAAGTTCACGTTTGGGCACAATGACAAACGCTAGAGTTGAAATTCGTTCGTACAATTTTCATTTTTCTTCGCCGCTCGTATTCTCTTTCTAAATCGATATCAGTAATTTTACAGTATTGACCTAATTTATAATGTCATGATTAACCATAAACTCATGACTAACCATTGTCAAGTCAGTGAGTTTGACATTTACCATGATTGGGTCATTGTCAAAATTATTGGTTTGACAATGACCCTGAAATAGACTCGAAATATCACCACCATATTCGTGTCTTGTTTTCTTTAATTGACTCATGCATCTATCGAGTTTACAAGATGGCATTATCATTCTGAGTATTTTTCTTATTATATATTTCTTAAAATTGTCTGCTGGTAAAAGATCTAATTGATCTAACTATAGGCGTAGAGGACATTCCCTCGAAGTGTCGGGAAGTCATTTTTTTCTTTTGATTGTCATAAAATCCAAACGCGGACCTTCATATTCTACGGTCACGGTCAATGCTGCACCTCCAACGTTAATAAAGTTTTAGACTAACTCTTAAACTTGTATTTCTATTCTAGGATGCATTCACAGGATGTCAAATCTTACCTTGTTCTCACAAGGTACACAAGGAGTGCGCAACGCAAATGATTAGAAGTGGCATGTGAGTATAATGGATGGATTTTTAACATTGTTTGAATGTGGTTGAGAATGATATGAAGAATTATCAAGCCCGAATTAAGTTTGTGTTATCAACCAAAGCCGAAGGCTGAGTTTGATAACACCAACTGAGCGGTTGACAAATAACTCTTCATATCTTGCGAAAACCGAATTCGGTGATTGTTTTATTGTTTATTTAAAAGATGAAAAAGGCATGCATCCGCTCCTGTGAGTTCAATTCATCAAATTAATGACCAGTTCGTTTTAATTCCCATTTGCAGAAATTATTTCCATTTTTCTTTCATAAGAATGTTAAGATGTTTCAAACATTTTGTGGCTGTTTTTGTTGAAATTTCGTCTATATAAATCTTTACGGTTTCCACATTTCGTATTCGTTTTTCCACAGCATGACATCATAACGTTGAATATGATTTTGTCATATTCAAGGTTAGAACGTCACTCTATTGCCGTGTATAGATATCATAGCTAGAAATCTCGGACAGTCAGCGTTTCCGTTCGCGGGCGCAAAAAATGTTCCACGCATGTGCGTGACACGTTCGCGTGACTTGTAGTAAACATAAAAATCAACAATGTCTTTTTACAAAGAGTTGAATAACTTGAGCACAGCTGATTTTTATGAATATTCAACGAGGACCAATATTAAAAGAAAGGCCGTAAAGTCATCGCGTGAGTTGTTCGAGGTCGAGCGGGTAATTTCGCGAAGAAATCGACGAGGAAAGGTAAATTTATACGTTTGTAAATTTATATGCTTCTGTTCACTAACTATACTCCCATATTTCGTCGGCAATCTCTGGTGACAAATGTGTTTTATCAAATATATAAACGCTCGAATATATTGATATTGTATTACAGGCAGATTATTATGTAAAATGGAAAAATTATTCCAGCCTGGAAAACACTTGGGAGCCAGAGGAGAACCTGAATGCTGCTGCAATAAGGTAACATTGATTTGTTTTAAAGTTTATTAACTTTAGCTGTTAGCACGACTATAAACATTGTAGGCAAATAAGAATTTGTTGTTTTTATATAGACTAGCTTTGTGCTAGTTAGACTGTTGGTTAAGCTCAACCTCATCCCCATGGTCTTTCTTCTTGAAAGGGATGCATGTATTCTTAAAATGTATTTAATATTTTGTCTTTCACTTCAGAGCTTTTGAAAACCCAGCACCGGCAGAGAATATGATTCAGGATGCAAGGGATTCTTTGGCATGTGGCATCCTGGAACAACTGAAATAAAAAAGTATGCTGCCAACAGTCATTCCTTTTCGGCATGATGTATTTCGCTACTTTTTTGGTGGAAAGGGGGGAGATCAGCAATGAAAGAGGTGCAGTTCTCTTGGAGAAGTCTGATTTTCAGATTTGCGATTTCCCAGGGGATTGGGACAAGATAGCGGACTCTATAGGAGATGGCTTGAAGATAGACTTTCCAGTCAAACTTCGACCATTCCTCTCATGGAGCCCTAAAACCTACATCCTTAAGGATGGTCAAGTTGTTGTGCGCCCCAGGTATCGGCCTGAGAAACTGAGTATCTCAATTTGTAAAAATGCTTTTAGCTTATAATTACTGTATATATTATTAATTTAATTTTTTTTAGAGTAATACATAATATGCTTAATTAACCCATTTCTGCCAAAGACTCAGGCACAACTTTTACCAAACCCCAATATAAGAGAGTGTCACTCTGGGAAACTTATTTAATTAAAGGCACACAATCACCGGTTGAGCGATTTTATTTAAATAGTGTGATATTGGCCAATTACAAATCAACAAACTTGAATTTGTTCCAGAACTATTGATTCAAGTTTAAATTTTGAACATATTGTAACATATCGTACTAAATAGCATCGCTCAAACGGTGCCTGTGTGCGTTTAAAGTTTTACATATGTTAATTAATTCTGTTGCTTTTGGTAAGCTTGCCTCTACAGTATTAATATTTAATAAACATCAGCATTTGATTATATGACAAAACATGGCCTGTCTTGGCCAAAATGGGTTAATTTCAACTAACCAACTAGTTATATATTTTGTTGATTTTTAATTAATAATGGATTATATATAAATGTATGTACATAATTATGGTATTTTAACTGTCCCTTCTTCTTTTGTTTTTAATCTCAACTTCCCAGTAATTATTATCCTTTTTGTTGTATAACCTCTTTGTTCGCTCGCTTCCGCGCAATTCCCACTGCCTGAACTCTAATTGGAGGACATCAGATGCAGGATTTTTGTTATTTGATTTACGCAGAACGACACTCCTTGCCACATCATTGTTTTTCTCAACCCCCTGGCCAGTGAAAAATTTAACAGAATGATACTTTTTCATAAATACAGGTACATGATACACAAGTGCATGCATGTATGGAGTTACTGCTGCTCTTCTATATCCTCTGTGAATAGAAGAGTCCCTTAATGAGGTAAAAAGTTTGATCCATTCTTTTGATTTTTCAAAACAATCATTACAAATCTCATCTGTTGTATGTTTAACAGTTATCATTTTGTAGATATCATTAAAATCTTTCCATATTTTACTGACAACTTCACATGTACCCGGCATTAGACAATTGGCAAATTTGTCTGGAAGCGCAGCCAACAGCTTCTTCTTGTCCGCCCCAAGCAGGCTTGTAAAGTCATATTGCCCGGATCCCCTCCCATCTTCATTTTTCTTTTCCCAAATGTCAAAACTGACCCCGCATGACCTTATTGCTTCCTGAAGTGTTGTAAGATGAGTGTTACTTCTTTCACTCTTTTTTTTGTTAAAATTTTCTTTCTGATCCCAGGAAATTACTTCCTGGATAATATTATTCAACAAAACATCCATTACTCTTAGTAACAAGTGTAACTCATCTAATACAACATGATCTAAATCAATATTAATAAGCGGCTTATGGTCACAAGAGAACTTGTCCTGTGTACCCTTTTTCTCTGCCATGTTTATGATTTCTTGCAGCGTGCGTTTGATTGGGATAGAGTTATAATGGGTTAAGTCCTTGTCCATTTTCCATCGGTTATCCTTGTGGATCTTGCACCAAACACATGCAAAATTGGATGTTGCTGCTTTCATGCCCATCATAATTAATAAAAATTTGTAGTCTCCCCCCAGGAAAAACTCAAGATTTAATCTTGAGTTATTGATAGTAATCTCACCCACCTGGATTAGATTGTTAATCTCCTGGAAAATCATTCCAAATGAGTCCTGTAGTGTTTCATAGCTTTCTGATCCCTTCACAATTGCAAATGTATGGTTTCCACTAGCAGACATTACATCATCTTGATTTTGAAGTAGTGAGAACGACAGCAAAATGAAACTAGAATTTCTTGTCATTTGTGCCCCATCACCAGAGATTTTAATCTGGACATTCTCTTTACTCCAATCTACCTCGTCATGTAATTTGATGAATTCATCAACATGAGATTTCAGCATGTCAGTGAATGATATTTGGGCACCATCAGCTTTACCCGGGGTAGGCACAACATTACTGATATTATTTAGTTGCCCTCTTCTCTGCTTGACAAGGTACGACTTTGGCAGACCATCGATAATCATTGTTAGTTCATGATAAAATGAGTCTCCAACACAAAATTTGTCCAGAAGAAACAATACTTGTTCTACTGTCTTTTGGTCATGATGAGATAAACTATCAAAACCCTTAGTACCATCAGCTGGAATACAAGTGTTGTCAACAGAAAGAGAATGTACTATCCCTGTTTGTTGTTCTCTAGCTTTCAACTCTGTCAACTCTAGGCCAAATGATTTCATAAACCATAGTGCAAGTTTTGCTCGAGACATGAAAGTATTTAGAGTTCTTGATTTTTTGGCAACATGGGCAACATCTTTGCCTTGATTTTTAAAATTGTGCTTTTGTTCAATACGGTCAATATAATCTAACAGTTCCTTGTTTACTTCATTTAAATTTTTAATTTCCTCATTCTTCTCTTGCATAGCAGAAACCATCTCCAAATAAAGCTTTTCTTTCTCCTCATGAAGATCCTTGTAACTTTGTTTCCACTTTTCAAGTTCATCACAAATGTTCTCATTTTCTCTTTGCAACTCTTTTACAGAAATGGTCATACCCTCAAGTAAGTGAAATCTTCTTACACAGGAATCAAGTTCCTTCCTCTTGTGTCCCCCCTTTGCCTTGTTGTAAGCAGATTTTACCATTCCGGCAAACTTACGCAGAGAAGCGTTGACTTCACTTCTGATGGTTTTGTCTTCCGTTATTCCAAAGGCACTACCAGGGATTGAAAGCTCGAATAAGTCGACATAATCTAAATTATCTTGACATGGGCAGGTATTCTCATTCTCGCCAGCTCTATCTTCTTCAGCTATTTTCTGCATTTCGTTCTGCTTCACCATGTATTCCTGCCATACCTTCAAAAGAGGGTATGGAATACCCACAACAAAAAGGACTGGCCTTGCATTAGGTTTTGCTGCATATGCTAATGAGGGTTCTTCCATGCATAATTTCCATTTAAGTATGGAATCATTTAGAGGAATATCAGACATTGTAAGACACGTTTCTTGCTATGGAAGTTGTATCAGTTTCAAAATATAAAAAATATTTCCTTAACCCTATATTTTCTCAACTTTCCAAACTTTTTTAAAACTTAGAAGTTCAAAGTAGATTTACAATTTGCATTTCCCGCGATTTGTTTTGTTTATGAGCCTGTTTCCCTCGCAGTTGTTAGTCAGCGGCTACTCCTTCGAATGCTTTCAAAATGGCGATAATATAAAGACAGATATTTGGCAAAATCTCCTGGTTTTTTCTTTACTAAATGGCTTTCAATGGCTGGAATGCCTTTTTAAAATTTGCCTCAAAACAGAGAATTTTAAAGTCAAAACGCCGCATCGCTACAAGCTATGGTATTCTAAAACTTATACGGAATGAATGCTCGAACATCGTGCAAGAATATTAGACGTGTGCACCTTGTTGGCAAACTCTTTGGGCCGCGCTACAACGAGCTAAATGGAGCAAGTATGAAGGATTTACTGGGTTTAATATAAGCTTATATTGTGAGGAAATATTGTGAATTGAATTCAGTCGCGCCGGATAATGGCAAATCGCGAGGGGTCGAAAACATACATCGATATATTTTCAGGTATTGTGTATTATTTGTAGACGTGTGCACCTTGCAAATCATGCTGTAATCGGTACTGCGCATCGATTTTACAATTATATAGTAGAAAGGCTTAGTATTTCCGCCATCTTGGTTTTGTCAAATTTGTTATTTGTGCGCATAATTATACTAATCGTCCGCCATCTTGTCCGAGATTTCTAGCCATGTGATGATTTCACAGTTAGCTAGCTGTTAGCCAATCAGAAGCCATGTGTCTTTTAAATTTATCATAATTATCATTATTGGAGTTTATTGTGTGCATATAAAACATGACATGCATATATATTCATGCAAGTGTTTCAATTCGTGAAGCATTATTTATCTCAACATTGTAGAACACGTTGTCCAATATGTCGGGAAAGTTTTGCACATAAATTGGAAAGAAGACCTCATCCTTCAAAGAAACCACCTGGAAAGCAGTAACTATATCAGGTCATTATTATCTATATGAATATTCACATGAATTGAATACGATTAATTAGATTAATTAGCATTTCCATAGCGTAAATTTACATATATATATATATATATATATATATATATATATATATATATATATATATATATATATATATATATATATATATATATATATATATATACCGGGTGGGCCAAAAAAAAGTACGACTGTTTGATTTACTATGACTCAAAAACTAAAAGAGCTATTACACTTATATAAATCACCCTATATTCCGCGATGTTTAACTTAGATTTTGATATATGTCTGGTGCATTTTCATGCGATTACATGATGACTGAGATAATTGTGTTTAAACTTACGCAAACATTTTTGGAACCGCCAATAATTAACTGAAAAGCCCCTATTAAACTAATTCAATAACCGTTACGATTTGTTCGCGATTATTGTTTCAATGAAGTGAAGTCGAAGTTATAGAAATATTTCTTCATTCACAGACTTTTTATTTTTTTGTTTTACGATGTTGGGCAATGGATGTTTTGTTCCTAGAAGGTATCCAATACCCGTGGGATAGGTAGTCTGTATGTTCTATAATGAGTCTAGAACGAGCTGTCCCATTTCAAGGGCAAGATGTTGCAATTGTGCCGGGGTACATGAATTTACTGATGAATAGATGATTGCTTTTGAACAACAAGCGTTAACGTACTGACTATAGAGTATAACGCGTCTTAACACAAGTTGTTTTTGTATATAAAGGTATTAATATTTAATAGGCCGTTTTTAGCTTAATTCTCTCAGTTTCAAAAATGTTACTCTTGTTCAAATGCACGTATCTTTGTCAATATGGCATGGAAATGTGCATGGCATATATCAAAATTTAAGTTAGACATCGCTGAATGCCAATAAACGTGTTTTATTGCAATTGCTCTTTTAGTTCTGATGTTATACCAATTCAAAGAGTCGTACTTTTTTTTGCCCCACCCGGTATATATATATATATATATATATATATATATATATATATATATATATATATATATATATATATATATATATATATATATATATATATATATATATATATATATATATATATATAGTTTTGCTAGCTGCAAAATGCATAAACAAAGCAAGAATAAAATATATTCATGGTTCTGGGCCACATTGTTTTAAATTTAGATTTTTATTCTTGAATCATCATAAAAATCCCTTCCTTAAAAACTCTTTTTCGTCGAAACCATTCAGTAAAACAGACCTGGTGGTTTGTTTTATAATCGATGTCATATCTCTAGTTTAGTACAAATTATAACATGCTAGTATGTAGATGAAAATACCACCGTTTGATTCAGTACAAAAATATCTGCTAATTTCTATCGATAGTTTTAGTAACATGGCAACATTATAGAGATTTATGGCCTTTGAAAGTCAAGCGGGATTGTATATTATCAAATTACGCAATAATACTTGATAAATGTAAACTATTCATACCTTTCGCCGAACATAACTTCGGCCCCTTGTGACGCATCGTCTTTGTAATAGTCTTGTTCGAAAGAGAATTCAAAACACTATTTGGAGTGTTATTTTCGAACTTGTATTACATCTTTTATTATGGTATTGCCATTTCTGGTCTGATTGTGAACTAATCCAAATGCAATTTGAAAATGTCAAAACAATGTGACGTTTGTATCCTATGACTCGGGAATGGTCGGAAATCGATTCTAAAGGTCAAATTACCCCTACTAGTGCAGCGGAAAAGTAAAAAATCATGCACTTTGTGAAGAAAGCACCCAATTCACAGGAAGTGTAGACTTTAACATGATAATGAATCTTAGATATGGAGGCATCACCAAAATTGATGCTGACGGCTTAAAATTTAGGATTTCTTATATTCTCTTGTTAAACTCTATATTACTGTTTAAAATTGTGAAATTGCAGGTTCACATATAGCGAAAATGACTCGCATGATTAGAAAGCTTACAAAAAACTACATATAAGACTTTTAAACGGCTGATTGATTTTCCAAGCGGTTTTCCAGTTATTAGACGGTTTTAGATAACAAGACGCGGACGTCAAGAGGACGTGAAAATGACGTATGCACCTCGCGTTCACTTCCGGGTTTTAATCTGGGACGGCTTGTTTGTCTTTTTCGAAGCAAATTTTTGCTTTCTTGTTACCTGTTCATTTCTGTATTGTTTTCAATCAGTTGTCAAGATATCTACAAGAAAAGGCTATATAATACTGGCCAAGTGTTTCCTGATGAATTAGTATGGACATTCAATAAGTTTTTTCAAGAAAAAAGTTATATTTCGGTCTTTTGAAAAGTGAACTTTGTTGCATCAATTGGAATAAATACAACAGCTGCAGGTATTGTTTACGAGCTAATTGTAGCCTATCCAATCAAGTTTGTCAACTGTTCAGTATAAATATAGCATCAGTGTTTATATTGGTAAAATTTAATACTGTTTACGATAGTTTTTCACGCTGGAAAGCGTTTTTTTGCTTGTCCTACTTTTTTGGCACTGTTGTGACAATTGATTGAGTTTTTACTGCTTTTAAGTGCTTTTATTTTTCTATTTTCCCACGTTTTCCTGATTTTAAACAGTTGTTAATATAACTTCAGTTTAGTTTGTTCTAAAATATTTGTTTTGGTGAAGATTACTAGCGGTATTGAAGTGGTTATTAACAATGCTTGCAGTTTTGTTGATTTGTTTATGGCGACCGAAAGTATTTGTCGAAAATCAACTCGTCTAAAATTTAGCGAAATACAAGAAAAACAACCTTGTCAACAGAAAAACTTTAGCTAGTATCATTAAACAATACATGGGGAACAAAATAGGATGATTTTCATTATGCATAGTCTCCTATTTTTTTCAAAAGAAGCAAAAATCTGTGACGTTCTAGAGAGGACCTGAAAATTGTATTTTCGCGTCGTGAAATCGTCCAAGACGACGTCGCAAACCAGAAGCTGACGATAGTTGGCGCCAAATGACGACATCAACGTCCTCTTGACGTCCGCGTCTTGTTATCTAAAACCGTCTATTGCTATTTAAAAACGTGATAAATAGGCAAAAATCCCGCCAAAGTCCTGGACACTAGCCCTAAAACATA